AAAGAATGTATACATTGCAAACAACTAAACATGATTTTGTTTTGGTGCATCAATATCATTCAATAAAGCGTTCAACCAATTGTTCTTTTCTTTATATATGAAAATAACCTGTATTTTCTAAATATATGTAACCTTCTTCTCAAAAATAAAAAATGGTCTTGCATTTCAGTTATTTTCTTCAAATAATACGAAAGTATGTTAAACTTAAAAAATTTCAGTATTTCAAAAACCTTTTCTCAGATACAAAACAAAATCGTGAGTTAAAACAGAAAACTCTTTTGCAAATGAATTCAGTGAATTGCAATTGACAAAATATGTGTACATATCCTCAAGGTACTTTATACCGGAAGGTACTTTGTACCGGGAATGTCCAGATATTACAAACAATACCTACATAAAAATTTTCTTTTGTATGCAAGTGTTTTTCACATTAACTTCATACAAAATATAGCATTTTTTGAAGAAAATTCAAAGTTTTAATAACCCTATTCAGATAAATGTGTTTTACGTATGAAAACCAGTAATATTGCTAACGATTTGGACCCATCATGATATTTTGAATGTGTGTGCAAATGCTTATCAAATAGTTACCCTTTTACTGTGTGATAACTGATAAGTATTCAATAGAATTTTAGTATCATTAACAGTAATGGACCATTTACATATGTTTTAAACTTTTTATTGATTGCTTAAAAGGCATTCCTGGTATTAAGTACTTAAAAACAAAAATGGCTGCCACTCATATGAGGTTATTAACAGAACTATCTTTTTGATGTATAGTTAAAAATTCTTTTGGATGATTGTTATTTTCATCAAACAAGAGCTGTCGGTAGGACAGCAACGCTCGACTTTTCTAGTGCTTGATAGTAAAAAATAATGCTTGATAGAGTTACCTACTCCTGTTTACAGGTTGGTGTCATGATGGTGAACAAGTATGCAAAGTTTCAAAGCCATATGTCAATGAACTTTGAAAATATTTGAGGTATTACAAAAAACTTTAACGTAAATTCTAAGTCGAAAAAGGGGCATAATTCTGTCAAAATGCTTGATAGAGTTACCTCCTCCTGTCTACAGGTTGGTGTCATGATGGTGAACAAGTGTGCAAGGTTTCAAAGCCATAATTGTCAATGGACTTTGAAAATATTTGAACTATTACAAAAACTTTAACGTAAATTCTAAGTCGAAAAAGGGGCATAATTCTGTCAAAATGCTTGATACAGTTACCTCCTCCTGTCTACAGGTGGGGGTCATGATGGTGAACAAGTGTGCAAAGTTTCAAAGCCATATGTCAATGGACTTTGAAAATATTTGAGGTATTACAAAAACTTTAACATAAATTCTAAGTTGAAAAAGGGGCATAATTCTGTCAAAATGCTTGATAGAGTTACCTCCTCCTGTCTACAGGTTGGGGTCATGATGGTGAACAAGTGTGCAAAGTTTCAAAGCCATATGTCAATGGACTTTGAAAATATTTGAACTATTACAAAAACTTTAACATAAGTGGTTACGCCGACGCGGACGCGGAAGCTCGGGTGACTACAATAGCTCTACTTATTCTTATCGAATAGTCGAGCTAAAAACGGTACCTCCTACAGAAAATGACTATTTTTTTTTTTTCTTTTTTTTTGTATAATATGATGGTGGGCCTAGTAAGGCTTACACTCCCGGTAGATAGTACAACCCGGATACTTGTATCAAACTTTTATACATTTTAATCAAATGTCAAATATACATTTTAATCTTTGAAGACGTTTTGTGACACCTACATCTAAACAAGAGCTGTCAGAAGGACAGCGCGCTCGACTTTTTTAGTGCTTGCCTATAAAACAAAACTTTGACAGTTAAGGGCACACAAGACTTTAACTAGGAATTTCTAAGTACAAATCAAGAAACATTTTCACAGAGTTATCTTCTCTTGCTTACAGATAGGTCTCATGATGGCACATAAGAACTCCAACTTCCAAAGTAATATCTCAAATGGTTAAGTCAACAAGTGGACAAGAATGAAAATTTTAACTGAGTTTCTAAGTCAAAAAGGGCCATAATTCAAATAAAATCCTTAACAGAATTACCTTCTCCTGCCCATGTTTTGGGACCATGATGGTAAACAAGTATTCCAACTTTCAAATTAATATCTCAAACAGTTCAGTCAAAAAGTGGACTGGTACTAAAAACTTAACCAAGATTCTAAGTCGATAAAAGGCCTTAATTTTTAAAACAAATCCTTGACAGAGTTACCTTCTCTTGCGTACAGATGGGGGTAATGATGTGAAATAGCATTAAAAGTTTCAAAGCAATATCTCAAAGGGTTAAGGCAATAAGTGGATTTTACCCATATTCAATGTATTTTCTAAGTGAAAAAGGGGCATAATTCTGTCAAAAACCTTGACAGAGTTATGTCCTCTTGTCTGTTGATGAAGGTCGTGATGGTAAACAAGTATGGTCAGTTTCAAAGCAATACCTCCAATGGTTTTAAAAATGTCTATAATAAAATTCTGCTGGTTTTTAGTAATAATTAAAGACACTGGTTCTAAATTTGAATTTCACAAAGCCTTTGTTAATGGTTCTAAAAATAGTACTTCAAACACCAAATAAAACTGGTTCTACACATAGAATTTCAGATTCCCTGTCATAAATAGTATTACTGAACTGACCACACAGTTTACTATACATGCATTAGTTTTGAATTTTTTATTCAAAAATTGCAATACTTTTAAACAATACAAAAACAGGTTATATAACAAAATAGATACTTATTCCACGAACATTTAAAATAAAATATTTCACAGTTTGTGTGACCAAAAAAAACAACAAAACAATAGCTTAAAGTTATGAGATATGGCCACCTAGAATTTAACATATAAACAAAGACATTTTTCAAATTGAACAATAAATTCAATCTCATAGCAAAAGAACAATTATCATCATCAACATCATCATTTTTATCATCTTCATCAGCTTGCCTCAATGCAAGTTCTGCATCTGTAATAATAGCATATATGCAACACTTACAAAGAGTCGGACCATGCAGGACCGACAATGTCACTTGCTCATTGTTATTCTTTAGATATCAGAACTCTCCTAGCAGTCTATGGACAGTTTAGAATTAAAAGGCGGGTAAATCTATGACAAAATCAGCAGGGCCTGAGGGTAAAGTTTGGTTTTTATATTATTATAAACAATTGGGCAATCCATATCATTGGTTGAAGTGTTATTTCAATCAGTTGTATTTTCAGCCTGTAGATTAAAATATCCCCTCAGACCCTCACTAAAATCGGCTGTTTTCGTTGGCATATCTGTTGTCTCTGATAAAATTTAAAACCCAGGTACTTAAGGTCAATTTGCAAAAAACTGCTATGAATAAAGTCAACCCTCTATAAAGTATAAATCCTTTTGACAAAGGTTTCAAATGTGGGGAATCATTTTAATGTGCTTGATTAATAAATGACTACAATTAGTTAAGCTTCAATGACAGAATACTAACAGGTGGATTTCAGAACAGGAAAATATCAAGAATGCAGGAGTTCACATGTCCTTATTTTGACATGAAACCTTAAATTAACACAACCATAATACATGTTTTAGGAAAACACTTTGATATCATGTTTATAAAAAGCTATATGAGAAACATCTTAAAAGCTGACTATTTAATGTCCATTTGTACAGCAAATGAAAGACAGAATGTTTCGAAAGCATATTACGATCATATACATATTTATCTACCAATGAAAATGTTAAGAAATACTTTCTTTCAGTACATGCTTTCATTTCCTAACACACATTAATGGTCGAATGTATGTTTGTTCTTGGAAGGAGGATGAGGATGGGGGGAGTGGAGAGAGGGGGCAAGGTATGACTGCCTTGTATATATATAATTAGACATGTATTTAAAAAAAAACATGCAATAATAGTGTATATGACACCTTAAAACTATGCGTTTACAATTCAGTAAATAAATAAAGCAATTTGTTAAGAATTGAAGTTTGGTAAATGGCTATTTCAAAAATTTGGAAATACATTTTTATGACATTACATTATTTCTTATCAATATCATTTTGTAAGTTGACCAAGAAAAACTATTAAAGTTGTTATCATAACTAGTTCACATGTACTGTATCCAATACTGTCAATGGTTATTATGGCATATTATATAACCAAGAAGTTATTAAGTTGTGCTGTTACATAATGTAGCCAGACTACAAAATAATTGTTTTTGTAATAATTACATGTCATGACCAAAATAAAGACCATATAACATCAATAAATTTGAAAATGCTTTTAAATTATTTCCTCTGAAAGAGACAAAGTTAAACAAAAATCTACTAAAAACTACTGTCTTAGTATCTAAGAAGAATAAATAAACTATTCAATATCACAATTATGCATTGACCTATCATTTATTTCACTCCCAAATACACAGTCAGTCCGACTAAAGCTTTGTTTGGTGCTATATCTTATAACAAGAAATTGTCCATGAAAATAATTTACGAATGATTTATATAAATTTTGTTCTCAAAATTTATTAATTTGTTAAAGGGAATAATGGGTTGCCTATGGTACCAGACCCAGGTCAACCTGTATATCTGTGCAGTCTGTCTAGAACTATGATAATTTTGTATGAACTTCTTTTTATAACCATCATTTAATAACAAACATTTAATAACAAGATAATTTTGGTCCCCTGTTCATCAAGCTACATATGCTATGACTTAGAATAAAAGCTTAAGCAAGGATATAGCCTATAAAGATGTGTATGATACATTATTTAGGGGAATAAAAAAAACGATACAAAAATTTAGAAATATTAACCATTAGTAATGCGTTAGTTTTTTGATTTTCATCACTTGTAAATCTGATCAGCATCTGACACAGTAGAGTGTCTGTAATTAAATAACCCTGTGAACCAGGAAAAGAAAATTCGAAGACTATGTCTTTTAATATTGATTTTCATCACTACAATAAGCTAAAATTGACATGTCATTCTGAATTATTTTTGTTAAATATATGTCAGTGAAATACTGTGCATTTTTGGGATTATATATCTTTTGATGAACTGCACAGCATGTTGAAAGTAAATGTATTATATACAATTATATATAACATTAAATGCATAATATCCTATCTTATAATGTAAATTTAAACAAAAAATAGACGATATTGAATGAGTGTAAGTTTAATACTGAATTTATTGAACAAGTTGAATAAAATTATATTATGTGAGCATAATATTATTTTATTCAACGAGTTCAATAAATTTAGTTACTATCTCACACAAATTCAACATTCTATTTATCACATACCAAAAATAAAGACCGTTTGAAGTGATAAAGAAACATTTTTCATTGACGTGCCTAATTAGTAAAACGCTAACATTTAGCGCATCTTAACGCTATGTTTATATAGCGCAAATGACGTCACGTCAAAATATATGCACGGCCGTGCAATATCATTTTTACGGAGTCGCAAAAGCAGCACAGGAATGTGATAAAGAAGAAATAGTTTCAATGTAAACTTTTGTTGTGTTACCCAACTTAACTTCATCAGTTTGTACAAGTTCATATCCACATAAAGTGTAGACATTATTAGTGTATGGAGAAAAACAGATCATGACAAAAAACCAATGCTGAAAACAAAGTGTATACAAATAAATCGAAAACTTAACAACCAAACAATGACTGTTTTAAGTCATGGGGGGCAGAAAACATATATTGAGTATATGTATAAACAAAGTGGAGATAAGGGGCATCGTGCTAGCAACTGCAGTTTGGACTTTTCTTGTCTTGATTTCCGCGCATGCGGCGTAATGAATTATCCCCGTACTGTATGCCAGATCCCATCCTCTCTGGGTCTAAATCTCCTGAAAATTAAGATACAAGTTTATTAGCAATACACAGAAATAAGATTAGGCACATTCTATTTTCATTGTGAAAAAAAAACAAAAACAAAAACTTTCATTGCTTAAAACTATGTATAACGTTCCATATCTAATTTGATTTGTTGGTTTTAAAATCAGTTAGAAAAAAATAAAATAATGCCAAAATATTATTTTAAGAAAAGAATAAAAGATTCCAGATTCAAGTAATAATTTAATGACTGATTTTGCATTATTCATCACCATTTATCTACTGCTTGTATCATAGTTTGGAGACCTTTCTGTTGAAAATGTGTCAGGGTTAAATCGTATACATATACATGCACAGTGCGTTAACTGGAGTGCGGGTATTAGTTACCCGCACTCCAGAGCATGCCCATTGATTGGCTCATTTTTGCTGGGGTTTACATATTGTGACGGCAGAGAAAGGGAAAGCGACAGAAATGTCATATTCAGATGTTCGTTCATTGGTTCATTTTTGCCGGGGTTTCATATTGTGACAACAGGGATCGTGTTTTTATATTTGACTATGATACAAAAGAGAAAGAACACCAAAACACTCGACAATCTGATTAATACTCGGGGGCTACGCCCCCTCGTACAAATCAGATAGCCTCGTGTTTCGGTGCTCTTTCTATTACTTGACTAACACAGAAAGGGCTATTTTAGCATATTTTGACATCTTTTTTGGTAATTCATATGAACTCTAAGTGCTGTTTGCAATGTGTAAATTACTTTCTTTGATCACTTCACAATATTTTCCTTTCCAATACATTTTCAAAATTTTCTTGTAAGGTAGCATAAATCTGGAACCATGCTGCCTTAAGCACAAGCTAAACATAAACAGAATCATACAGTATCCTTATTCAGACTGGCTAAATAGTTAACTCTTATAAAAATAATTTTTGTCTGTTTTATACGGTAAATAGTTATCAATAATTAGCTTTTTTTGCCAGTGAGAATGCCTAAAGTTGAAAAATTTCTGTCAGTTTATTTCACATAATCTGTTTTAAATGTCATTTTTTTCAACCATTAATTAACAAGAGGGCCATGATGGCCCTGAGGTCGCTCACCTGTATATAGGCCCCCGGAGCGGGGCAAGTTTAAACCCCAGTGTCTTGAGAGAGACACTCATTAGAAGATGTTTCACAATGTTAAGTTTTTACTACACACATATAATGAAAAACAATGATCTCCCCCTTTCCTCCCCTCCCCCCCACCCCGGCCAATTTTCACCGGGGGGCTTTTATTTGAACAAACTTGGTAGACACCCATAAGAAGATATTTCATGCTAAATATCTAAGCTCTAGCTCATTGGGTTTTTTAAAAGAAGATTTTTAAGTTTTTACTATACACATATAGTTCAAAACAATGACACCCCTGGGGGGACCACTTTTGACCCCAGGGCTTTTATTTGAACAAACTTTGTAGACACTTACTAGAAGATGTTTCATGCTTAATATCTAAACTCTAGCTATTTGGGTTTTTTCAAAGAAGATTTTTTAAGTTTTTACTATATGCATATAGGGAAAACCAATGACCCCCCTGGGCGAGGCCAATTTTGACCCCAGGGCTTTTATTTGAACAAACTTGGTAGACACTCATAAGCAGATGTTTCATGCTGAATATCTTAGCTCTAGCTCTTTGGGTTCTTTAAAGAAGATTTTTTAAGTTTTTACTATATGCATATAGGGAAAATCAATGACCCCCTGGGGCCGGGCCAATTTTGACTTTCGGTTGCCATGGCAACCAGAGTTCTGTATGGAATTAAATTCTTTGAACAATTTTTAAAGGTGACCACTAAAGGAACATTCCTGTGAAGTTTGGATGAAATTGGCTTAGTGGTTTATGAGGAGATGTCATTTAAAGAAAAAGTTTACGGACGGACGGACGACGACGGACGGACGCCAGACGAAAAGCGATCACAAAAGCTCACCCTGTCACTTTGTGACAGGTGAGCTAAAAAGGTGCGTATATCTAGATAATTATTACGCACCCATATGAAAAGTAGGTCATTGGCTAAAATGGTTTGAAAAAAACACACAATTTAACAGCTTGCGTCCCTCCTAAATTGCTGCCTTATAGCTGTTGTATTGTTTTTTCTTATTAGCATCTGTTATCTTTCCTCAAATATTTGAAAATCGAAACATTTAAAAAGAAATATAGCCACTATCTTATTCAACACAATATCACACCATAATTATGCAAAAAAAGAAATTAAAATGATTATTAGGAGTTTGGAGACATTCTATAATATAAAGATTGAAAATTTTAATATCTGTTCTTTACATAATCATCATACAAGAGCTGTCAATAGGACAGCACGATCAACTACTGTCAGTGCTTGATAGTAAAATAAGAGCTTGGATAATGTAAAAATAAACAAAGAGAACGATTTATCACAAAAACATGACATAGTTATGAGTCTTTTGATACTGACCAAAGAATTTTGTAAAGTTTACAAAGGGCCTTATTTCATTCAAAATCCATATCATTTATAAGTCTTGAAATTGTTTTAAATAAAAACAACATGAACCAAGTTTCAAGTGAATACAATCAGTAGTTTTAAGAAAGATTAGTTCAATGAAAGATTAATGTTGCAAGCAAAACCTGTATTCCATGTGTTAGTTACATGTATTATTTTTCCAACTTCACATCCTTGATAATTTTTTCAATATATTTTGTTCCCAAAACTTAGAAAACTTATGTTGGCAATAAAATAGTAACATTTTTTTTCATAGCTAAACCACTTAGCTAAATTATCAACAACAAAAAAATAATCAAACACAATTACTAAACAGACCAGCAATTATGTTAATTTATGTAATGTTAATTTAAAGACAGCACACATAAATATTTAGTATTATATATGTTAGAGAAATACAAAAACTTTAAACAGAAATAAAATGAGGGGAAATAAAAGCAGAATATGTTTCAAACTTTGTAAATACATTTGTACAACCCCTACCCTTTACAAAATGAAAGCAGTACAATGTGAAAAGACTGGAGGCTTTGAGTTAGTATATATTAGTATTAAGTCCATGCTAAAGAGGTCCCCTGAAATGATAAACTCATAGAAACAAGAGCTGTCGGTAGGACAGCAACGCTCGACTATTCTTAGTGCTTGATAGTAAAAAAAAATGCTTGATACAATTACTTCCTCCAGTTTACAGGTTGGGGTAATGATGGTGAACAAGTGTGCAAAGTTTCAAAGCCATATGTCAATGGACTTTGAAAATATTTGAACTATTACAAAAACTTTAACGTAAATTCTAAGTCGAAAAAGGGGCATAATTCTGTCAAAATGCTTGATACAGTTACCTCCTCCTGTCTACAGGTTGGGGTAATGATGGTGAACAAGTGTGCAAAGTTTCAAAGCCTTAAGTCAATGGACTTTGAAAATATTTGAACTATTACAAAAAACTTTAACATAAGTGGTTACGCCGACGCAGACGCCGACGCTGACACTGACGCCGACGCTCGGGTGACTACAATAGCTCTACTTATTCTTATAGAATAGTCGAGCTAAAAATGATATATAATTCATATTTCATTTCTAAACTGTATTTTACCCTTAACTTACTGACCTTTTAAAATAAACTTTTCAAACTGTCTGTTATCAAGTTATGGAAAATCAAGAATTATAAAAAATTTAAAGTTAGTCGACATAAAGTATAGAGCCTGGTCAGACTGCGCAGATGTACAGCCAGGCCTGGCTCATTTTTTATGGCAAAGGGTTTCTCATTTTATGTTCCAATATATAAATGCTATTTATCTATACATACAACATTACTAATTTTGAGTACAAACTGAAAATCTGGTCAAAAGCAACAGAAAGGATACAAATCTGAGCAAAAACCAAGCGTAAAACCATCCACTAAACATATATAAAACAAAAATCACACAAAGCTATAAAAAGGAATACAAACATTTATATTTTCACAATCATCCATCCTCACAGACATGATATAAGCTAGCAAGAACAGTCTGGTCTCTTTGATGGCGGAGGTTGCCGTTGTTGCCGTCGTACTGATGTGTCGCCATATTGTATACCTGACCCCATTCTCTCTGGGTCAAGCTCCCCTGCGGGCAAGATAAAGAGTAAAGCAATCTAGCATGTCATTTAAATATGATAGTATAAATGATCTATATATAAATAGTGTTAATAAGAAGTTCCAAATCACCAGTTAAGCGTTTTAACGTTAAGCGTGTATAGTAAGATTTTAAAAATAATCTTTGCGATGAATATTTGTTTCAAAATAGGGTGAAGTATTATCAGCTGAACAGAAATAATACTAAAGTAAGCTTATCAGACAAACAAAATGAACTAAATTTCAAGCTTGTGTCACCTGCTTTAATGAGTGTTCTATGCCACTTGTGTTTAGAAATGTCCAATCTGACCAGAATTTTTACATATGGCTCCTTAATTTAAGCAATTTTAATAATGAAATCACTTTAATTAACAAGCAATTATCATAGTATTGCAAGCAGCCCCAGCAACATTCTGAAGGGCCATTGGCCATTCACTAAGGTTTCAATTTTTCTATATTTTCAGTAAATTTGTTGGAAAATATCTTTAAAAGTGATCACAGGAAACAGTTTTTATGAACAGACAGACGGACTGAAGGACACTCTAAAGTTAACTTTGTAAACATCCCTGTTACCAAAGTATAAAATTTTTAAAAGCAAAATTCTTAGAGGAGATAACTCTTAAAATAAAGATGCAAGACATCATACATGATGTGAGTGTAACAAAGAACAATTAGTAATGAAGGCGTTGATAATGAATGTTTATTTTGAATTTGAAGTTAAAGAAAAATAAAAGAATGAATAAGAAATATTCAAAGTTTAAGGAGGAGATAATTCTGAAAATATGGATGCTAGATTTATAAACCTTGTCATATTATTATGATGTGGGAGTTTGAAGTAAATCCTACAATTAATGAAATTGATGTAGTTGATGACCAGAAACTTATATTTGAAGTTTGAAATAAATACCTTAGAAATAAAGAACTTACAGTGAAAAAGCCTAAAAACTAGAATGAGGTTGCCAACGTTTGTTAAGTATGACAGCTCTCAATACACTCCCTATAGTCAAAATTAAAATGATGTGTTTAATTTCCATACTGCCATCTATCCATATCTTAAGTTTCATAAAAAGTTTCAGCTCTTTTTCACTAATCACAAATATTGTTATATTTGCCATGTTTTAAGCCTATTTGTTGTCATGGCAACCAATTTTTTCCACATAGGAAGGAAAGCAAAAGTCTCCAGACTGCCATCTACCCAAATTTTAAGTTTCATATTTTCAGTACTTTTTGCATAATCAATAGATCCAGTTTATGTGTTAAATTTGCCATATTTTCAGTCTATTTGTTGGCATAGCAACCAGAATTTTCAACACAGGAAGAAAAGAAAAATGTGCATAATCTCCATACTGCCATAATTTCCATACTGCCTTGATCTACATATCAAGTTTCATAAAAATATTTTCAGTTCTTTTTGCGTTATTGCGGGATCCAGTTTTGTGGACGGACTGACGGATAAACAGACGGAGAGTAAACCTAAAGTCCCTTCCAGTAAACCAGTAGGGGACTAAAAATGGACAGACCTAAATTTTAGAACAGGCCATTCCATTTCATAACTTTGTGGGAAATAGGTTAATAGATTGATTAATTTAATATTGATTCTCATTTTATTGGCCTGCCTCAATTCAATTATGAACTTGGATATCGTATATATTACAATGTAATTGTATGTTGATCCAAACATCTTTGTTCAGAATTCCAGATACAATAAAACTTCGGCAAGTCTAAGTTGAAAGAGCTTGCTAAAAAACTTCAAACAATGGGACTTAGGCTCATGTATAGATCTCAATTTAATGACAAAATTTTAAATCATCATCGTTTACAAGTGACTTTCAAAAGGCGTAACAAAAAGAAAGAGAGATCATTGTTAACCAGCTTATAGTAAAAATATCCTATGTGATTTTCATGCTATCACAAGTTCTCAGAGAATCCAAAACCAAACTAACTTGTAAAGTTTATGTTCAAATACAACTACGGCAATTAGAATCATTTCAAATGAAGCATATTCTCTGATAAAGGAACATAATTATACAAAGGCTGTTAAAACACCAGTAAGATAACCCATTTCTTATTGTATGTGTAAAAATGATGCCAAAGGCAAAAGGCAAACAATATAATGAATTTCTTTCATGTGTAAAATTGATACAAAGATCTATACAACTTGCAAAAAAAATTCAGAAATTTTCACTGAACGCTCATTTCCATCTCTAAAATTTTTCATTCTCCACCACCTTATCATGACATAGAAGTGTCCACATATAAAGCTTAGTTTGTTTCTGATCATTTATAGGCGATATGGTTTCAAGCTTTAATATTGGAAGGAGACCACAACACAGGAGAAGAACCACAGGTCATCAGTAAGCTAGCTTGATAGCTTCCTCAAATGAAAGAATCCAAACTTCCTGTCATTATAACTAAAGTCCCTGTCACAATAACTTTTAGTTTCAAGTTTCAATGGAAAATGATTAGAAATACACATGTACAATCACTTGTAATGCATTCTATTATGAGAATATAATAAGAAGCAAAATTTACACTTGTACAAATGTTTGCAGTTGAATGATTTTGTTGTACCAAGGTAAAACAAGAAGTTACTAAAATTTATCAGCCAGTATGATGATATTTACTTCCGCTCAATTTAAATTTAATTTCAGTTAAATTTGCTTTTTTTTCCTTCTTTTTTTCTATTACATGTTTTTAGTTATTTTTTTCTCATAAGCAACAGTTAGGCCACTAAATCTAAAAGCTGGATATGTGACTGTCACTTAATTGTGATATTTCCATCAGCTACAGATTTACAATGTACACTTGATGACAATATCTCTTATTAGCCCTTACTGTGACTTTACCGGCATCCAAGGGTTAAATAGTGAGTGAACAGTTGAAAGTCAAAATAAGTTTAAATCTTAAATTTTTCAGAGCATTAAGGGTAAATAATTCACATGGCCTAAGGAAATTTCTGTAAAAATTAAATCATAATTTACCTGTAACTTCAATTTGTAAAAAGAGCAAGTCTTTTTATATTTTAGACAGAATTATCTTTTATCCTAAACATTTTCCAATATCAAGTGTTGGTCAATCACTATTATATAGTCAATCTGTTGAAATATATAGTCAACTCAGCTCAACTTGTATTGAAAAAATGAGCATAATTTCATATTCCCCTGGTAAAACTTAAACTGATCTACATTTGCCACCAGTATAGAGCAAGGCCAGCCTGCACATATTTGCTGTCTGACCAGGCTCTATACTATTGGTAGTTCAATTTTTGTATTTCATTGTTGAAACCCATTAAACTCTGAATGGACTGTTCCAAATTCAAAGCAGGGCAAATCCAATTTAGAATTTCTACAGCTTAAGGATTAGTATACAATCCATAACTTTCATTAAAAAGAGTGATACCCCTTTTGACATTATCTTCTTTAAGAAAATTTGAACAAGTTAAACTGTCTGGGCTTTACATCAAATACCAGTCAAGGAAAAATATATGAAACATTTATTTATCACCATCATGTAAGCTTTACAGAATCAGACTTTAAACATTACAACATCAGCAGGAATGTTTTTCACTTGGCACAACACATTTAAAAAAGATGTAATGTTAGACTTATAGCATGAAGCATTGGGTATTTTCTGCATGGCATGCAATACTTACCAGACTCTATTTTTGTGAGAATCTGTCTTGCACATTTGAGAAAGGTTTCCTCCACATTTTCACCAGTTAAAGCACTTGTTTCCAAAAACATTAACTCTGAAATCACAGATGATGTTAATTATTTATTCATTTTCATTAATAACAGAATATCCTTGTTTGTTTTAGCTTGGTTTTACTCCGATTTTAACACATTTTCTAACATTATTTTGGCAGTCTAAATCAACATAACCGGCTTACCTAGATAATCAACCACTAAATACCTTAACTGGATAACTAACCAGTAAAAATCAACTCCTGCAAATGACAGGCTATTCATCCCATGATTCATGACTTCTGTGACAAATGACCATTAGACTCAATGTCCAAATCAATTGTCATAGAGAAATAATGCTTCACCCAAGGATTGAATCAGTGACCCCTTGATTACTAATGCTCTCCCTATTTAGGTAAGCTAGTGAAACAACTCAAAAACTAACAAAAATATAGAGCTGATGAAAGCTGAAATGAAAAGCATTGATATAATTCATGAACGGGCTGCAAAGGGATTCCTTCACCAGAAAAGCTGCAAAGTTACCATATATGACTTTTACAGTGTAACTTAAAATCCAACAAAACAAACAAACACAAGATTTTACCTCATAACTTCTCAGTTTTACAAAACCACTTACCATTTTCTTGTGCAAATCTGCTAGCTTCTAAGAATGTAACTTCCCTCTCTGCCTCCAGATCTTTTTTGTTCCCTACCAAAATAATGACAATATTTGGACTAGCCAGAGTCCGTGCATCTGTCAACCAGTTTGTTAAGGCATTGTAAGTTTCGCGACTGAAAAAATAAAAAGACCATTAACCATCTGTAACAAGAACGTCTATAGAATTGTAAGATAATATCTGTCATATTTTATGGTTTGTATCAGAATATCCGTCCAAAGGATACCGGCCCATTGGGCGGTAATGAAGCTTGCCCAGGTACTGCCCAAGGGCAGGTACCCTTTGGACGGATATTTCGTTCTGAAACGCAAACATATGTCAGATATTTTTTCTTGCATATTCTACCATATTCTTTCATATTTAAAATGGTTTTCCTCAATAAGATATTTTGTTCATGGAAATTTATGTCATTTCATCCATACCTATTGTCTTACAATAGTGTAAGAATTTACAATTTTAACAACAACGACAAAATGACGTCATCCTAAGCACATAGTTCCTCTAAAATGCGCCAAAATGACATCATTTTAACATGGTTCATTCATAAAGCGCTAAAGTGATGTTGTTGTATGGCACGCGACTCATCTGACACCCCCCATGCCAGATGAAATTTCCTGCATGGGTAAAACACATGGAAATGCCAGTCTGCTATGCAAGAAAAGAATTTGTGACATCATTTTTGTCTGAAGAGAAATTGCAAGTAAAATACTAATTAAAATGCTATATGCTATAAATCAAGCTTAAGCTCTTAGCCTCTTAAACACTCAAGACTTATGTTTAAACAAATTTTTTAATTTACTATTATATACATGTATAAAGTTTAAACAATTGAATTTTTAGATTTATTATCAAAATTGTCAGTTTTTTCATGTATATGCTTACTTAACCTTTCAATAATACTTATTAATCTGTCTAGCTTATACTTTCTTCTAAAACTTTTTGTTTTTATTTCTGCGAAGATTTTTTTTATTTCATTCATTTTACCTCTTGTAACACTTATTTGCATCAGATATATCTAAGAAATTTCCTTTTTCTAAGAATCAGTTTCTGTCCAGTAGGTGTAATGATTAAGACAAATAAAATGCTTACCTTGTGATATCATATACAAGCAAGGCACCTGCTGCACCTCTATAATAACTGCGGGTAACTGATCTACAATACATCATATAGGAAGATAAAAGATATCAAATTAGTTAATAATATCAAATCAATGCACCTTCAAAAAATACTGACAATAAAACTTCAAATTTTCAGCAGCTGTAATGTAACATTTTTTAAAGGGACTCCACTGAGGTTTTTTTAACATGACAGGACTGGATGTATTTATCAAAGCTTTTTGAAACAAGTGATGTAGGTCTAGACCAATAATTTCTGTGCACATTTGCAGCTCATTCCCTCTCATTTTTTTTCAAACACACACCCTCGAACACACATAAATACACACAGGTGAATCGCAATATGCCACTGCATCACAAATGCTGCAGTAGTATAAACAAATATTTATATAAGCAACATTGTAATACTTCAACAGGGCAGCTAATACTATGAAGTCTGGTTAATCTGCATAGAGATACTGACTGACCTTTCTATTCTAAACAACCAGCTTAGGCATGAACTTAGAACTCTTTTATCTTCAAAATAAAAGTGGTCTCCGTCAAATCTTATTTACTTTAAGTAAAGATGCAATAGTTAACTGTTACGGTACACAATTGAACAGTTTATCATACTTGCTGGGCCAAGGTTACAGTATGTATGTGTTACAAGTAACCTATGCCATTCAGTATATCATTTTCCTGACAACTCAAGGGAGGTAATTGTCAACATACATTGCTCCTAGAAGTTCTTTTAACTACCCAATGGTGGCAATTACAATGAAAGTGAATAATACAAATAAACTTGTTTCAAACATACTTTGAAGACTCACTTTCAAGTTTAAATGAGCATTTATTTACAATATGCAGTTTTTACGACAGAAACAGTAATTAATTTGTATTAATTTCAAATACTGTTACATTATCTAATATTCACCATGAAATTAATGTATTGCAGGCCCTTTTTCCCTATCCAACAGGTCCGAATATACATGATATTGGCCCCATTCCCGATCCAAATTTTGTTCTTTTTCCCCAATCCAAAATTTTTTCCCGATCCCAAGGTCAGCAATTAAAAAAGAAGGTACCACCTTTTTGTATTTGGCGTTGCGTAATGGTGTTCCAAAATTTCAAATATCTTTCAAATATCTTTTAATTTCTTAAATAAGCATTTACTTAGCTTTATTTAAAGAATTTTAAAATCTCAAATGCTGGCATATTTTTCCAACTTAATTAAGTTCATGATAACTTTTTTGCCCAAATAGGAAAATTTTATGACACAAATTTCCGTGACATTTTCCCAAAATAGAGGAAGAAAGGCCTGTATTGTTACACCCTTTACTTCTAGCAATTGAAAGGTTCAACAGAAAATGAAGTGTGAGGTACTCACCGGAATCTTTCCTGACCGGCTGTGTCCCAGATCTGTAATTTAACTGATTTACCACCTACATTAACAACCTTACTGCCAAACTCCACTCCTATAGTGTGATTTGAATCTTGTTTAACTGAAATTATTATCGACAACTCAATTAATTAAATGTGTTCATCGGAAGATTGTTCAAATCATGATATTGCCAATTTTTTCCATTTCTATTCCTTTTTTTAATAAAGTAGACATCAACATGCTGGACTACACTTTTGTGAGATGTAATGTAGCTTTCATTAACAAGAGCTTCCGATAAGCAGCCTGCTCCACTTCAGGTGCTGGTTAGTAAAATTTAATGTTTTACTTATGTGTAGGTACCAGTGACCTTGACTTTTGACCTTTTGGTCCGATTTAAAGCCACAACAAAGGAATAGAGACCTTTAATCACAGGGCCACGGAGGCCCTATTGGTGTGAAAGGTAGAATGCATCATCATATCAAGTTTCAATGTACATGTAATAGCATTGTTATCATGGAAGTTAATGACCATAAACAAAACAGCTAAAATTATTTCACAGAAAGGTGTAGATTTCAAAGTGAAACCCTTGCATGTCAGTTCCTTGTATCCATATACAAAGTTTTTCTTCAATCTTGATACACAAATTCCTGCATTCTGATGCACTTTTTGAACAGATGACTTGTATAAAAATGTGCTTTAAATTTACAAAGACAACCAGTCCTGCAACTTACATTTGTTTTCTATGAACTGGTGTAGAATGCAAGATTTTCCTGTACCAGCACTGCCTATCACAAGGAATTTGAATAGAAAATCTGAAATACAAGAAACAAAAAAAGGTCAAACAAGAGGACCATAAAGACAGGGCTATATACACCTGAAAGTTAATTTGTCTGAGTAATGAAAAATACTCCTTTAACAAGAATATGCCCCCCTTTCTAGCCCTTGACTCATACTATCGGTAATTTTGTTATAGAAACTTGCCATGGAAGTGTTCAGTTATGGAAAAAAAGAAGAATAATGACCTACTAGTTATAACCAATAAATATGTGAAATATGAAGACCTTGACCTTTGAACTAGTGACCCCATTAGGACTAATCAATATGTGAAATATGAAGAAATAGTGACCCCAAAATAAATAGGAGACATCTACTAAATACATGTATGACTATTCAATATGAGCAATATAAAGACTTTGTGATAGTTTTCAACATTATGAGCGGAAACCATTCTGACATATAAGGCCCCTGTGACCTTGACCTTTAACATAGTGATCCAAATATCAATAGGGGACATCTACTTGTTATGACCTGAATCAATATGTGAAATATGAATACTTTGTGATAAATAGTTTTCAAGATAATTAGCAGAAACCATTCTGACATTTAAGGCCCCTGTGACCTTGACCTTTGAACTAGTCGGGGTCATCTACTAGATATGACCAATCAATATGTGAAATATGAATACTTTGTGATAAATAGTTTTCAAGATAATTAGCAGAAACCATTCTGACATTTAAGGCCCCTGTGACCTTGACCTTTGAACAAGTGACCCCAAAATCAATAGGGGTCACCCTAATTATGCCCCCTCTTCTTCGAAAGGGGGCATAATTAGGGTGGAGACCTAATCAAAAAACTTGTCTGGAAAATGTTTTATTTAATTATCCTCATGAAACTATAAGGGGGCAGGGGACCTAAAAATGAAAAATTTTGTATTTTAGTGTGACCAGAAACACAATTCCAAATATTTCAAAATCTGTTTCACAGGCAGATAACCAGTTGCACAGCATTATTCAATGATATATGACATACATTGAAGAAAATAATAGTTTGCATGCATTGCTCCTTCAAAAAATGACTGACAGCAATTTATATTTACCCCCACCCAGCCAAAATCACACCAAAAATATACCAATATGGGCAATCTTCATGAAGGTGCAGCATACTCCAGAATCCGCCCGATTCCTTTAAAAATATCAGTAACACGCAGTGCAAGCTATGGCATTTTCAGAAATGACAAATAAAGTGTCTGTCATACGTTTAGATTTTTCACAAAATTTATCTGAAATTTCTTACTTGTTTGGCGCCAACTGTCAAAGCTTGATTTTTAACTTTTTCACCTCCATTCGGAGAGTCAGAAATACATACAAAGCTACCAAAATGCTTAGTTTCGGGTAAAAACCCAAAAATATATCTCATTTCCTACACACAAACAAGAAAGAATTTCAATGACAAGGAAATATCAGAAGTTATCAGTACCTTCAAAACACCATGTCTGAGTTATTAAAAAATTTGACCGTGGCCATCATTCGAATATGTCCCCTGCCCCCTTAAGATTTTTTATGTGATCCGCATTAAAGCGTTTCCTTTTATTTTCTTAAAATATGGAGTATTTCGCATTAAACGTTAACTTCGAAAAGTACGTACTGCGGTTACTTTGTATTAAATCAAATATTTAAAAAAGACCCTATTTCAGGGGAAGTAACTAGTACAATGACCATGCCTGTTATATGATTTACTTAATAACAAGTACCAGGAACCTGTCAGATGGTTATTTTTCTGTATTCCACCTTCATTTAAATACCATAAAGTATTTTCAGAGTATTTAAAGTCTTTTGGAAGGAGATTACAGCAAGAAAAACAATATTACAGCCATATTCAATGTCCCAAAATGAATTTTACAGCAAACCAGACCCCATTTATTCTGGCATACACCTAAAAATGCAGTAAAGATACCACTGTTGACTTATATGACATTATATACATTTGTAACAATTGAAAGTGCTCAATTATGCATTATTATGTCAATTTGCACAACATAAAACTGTTAAATCTGGATAAATGTGCACATTCTGTGAAGTACAGTGTTTGCCAAAATTCCAAATTTTTATTACCTCCCTTGACTTGACAGTCCACTTACTCTACATAACTTGATAAATCCTACCAGTCACTTCAAATTTTGACTAACAAATGTAGAAGGAATGTTTATGGGCACATTTGGGTCAATTCCAACACATTTTATAAATTTGAAAATTTCCTTAAGGGGGCAGGGGACCTAAAAATGAAAATTTTTGTATTTTAGTGTGACCAGAAACACAATTCCAAATATTTCAAAATCTGTTTCACAGGCAGATAACCAGTTGCACAGCATTATTCAATGATATATGACATACATTGAAGAAAATAATAGTTTGCATGCATTGCTCCTTCAAAAAATGACTGACAGCAATTTATATTTACCCCCACCCAGCCAAAATCACACCAAAAATATACCAATATGGGCAATCTTCATGAAGGTGCAGCATACTCCAGAATCCGCCCGATTCCTTTAAAAATATCAGTAACACGCAGTGCAAGCTATGGCATTTTCAGAAATGACAAATAAAGTGTCTGTCATACGTTTAGATTTTTCACAAAATTTATCTGAAATTTCTTACTTGTTTGGCGCCAACTGTCAAAGCTTGATTTTTAACTTTTTCACCTCCATTCGGAGAGTCAGAAATACATACAAAGCTACCAAAATGCTTAGTTTCGGGTAAAAACCCAAAAATATATCTCATTTCCTACACACAAACAAGAAAGAATTTCAATGACAAGGAAATATCAGAAGTTATCAGTACCTTCAAAACACCATGTCTGAGTTATTAAAAAATTTGACCGGGGCCATCATTCGAATATGTCCCCTGCCCCCTAATTATGACCTGCAAGGTGGGGGCATTTTTTACCCTAAGTGCATGATACATAAAACTTTTATAGAGGTCTACTAGGCAATGCTATATCAGTATATGCCAAATATAGAGGCATATAGTTATCTACAAAAAGATGAGTTTTTTTATACCCTAGTCTACATGAGGCAACCAACTCCCAGGGCAAGGTAAATTTTTGCTTGAGAATCATGATTAATATAATATTTGTAGGAATCTACTAATTGATGCCAAATATCTAAAGTCTGGGCTTTGTAATTTCACAAAAATAAGAATTAAATGTGTTTTCCTATAATCAAGTGACCCCAGGGAGGACAAAATTTGGCTCCCTGGGACATGACTGATATCAATTCAGGGTTCCAATTTAAGCTGGCATACTGGCAAAATGCCAGTTAAAATCTAATAATGCCAGTAAAAATTACTCTAGCTGGCATTTATTTGCAAGTGACTGTTCATTTTGGACATATACATTATACAAAATTGTTATCTAATCTGAGCTGATGATGATGCTTGGCAACTGCCCGCTGCAGAAACTGATGATGTTTAATGTGCCAGATGCAGTAACTGATGACGTTTACCTTAGAAACTTCTAAATCAATTTTTAGTTGCTATCAATTTTTAGTTGCTTTTTTTTTCTGTGACTATGTTTTGATGGACTATTTATAACAACCAAACACTATTTGTTTGAACTCCATGTTGTTTTATCCAATGTAAATGCGTAGCACTACTCTGTAAAGTGATTACTTTTAAGCTGAAATATTTGTTTAAGTAGATCAGTACCTCTAGGTTTCATTCAAGCACAAAATACGCTAAAATTAATGAAGGTCCTAAGAAATTACATTACATGAACAAGTTTATAACTGTACATTGTCACCAGTGGGTGCTCCTCTGGTATATCTAATCTGATCCCTAAACAATTATCATTTATAAGTAAATGCGTTGAAATGTTTTTGTTTCATTACAAGAAGAGATAGATCTGTGTTTACTTGTGATAAAGATGTTTCTGACAGTCACATGATTCAAGCTTATTATCATTTGTCATATCAGATGTTCAAAATACATTGTCATTGTGTATTATAGTAATGATAAAATTCGTGATCATGGAAATGCCAGTTGACTACCTCATATTGCCAGTTAAGCATTTGATCACTTGCAAAAATCTGCAAGTAGAGGCTGACATTGCAATGCTACACGTCAAATATCTAAACTCTAAAATTCACAGCCATTTGTTGCGATCTCGCAAATTGATTTTTAACGTAATTCACCATGGCAGTTCACTGCAAAATTGATTGTTGCTGAGATAGTGGTGGTCGTCATGTTCGGCAATCTTTACAGGTTTTACAGGAGATCTACAGTTTATTTGGATTTCTTCAAAGGCATTTGGAGTTTTAAACCAAAAGTGTCTTGTGGTTCTAGCATACAATGCATTCACATGATGGTCATCATTACCTTGTAAGTCAATTAATTATTCAACAGCCAAGGAACGGTCAAATGGTAAAGAAACAATATTTTTCATTTTGAATGAATAATGTTCAGCAACTTAAATTGTAAGTTTACAAAGAAAAGTAACCAAAACAGGTTGTATCCGACTACTAGTACACTCACGTCAACATTTATTGATTTTCGACTGTTTCTTAGCACTTAGGTCATTAATTACATGTAAGTACATTAATGTTTAGAAAACAAACTTTACCGTAAGTTTCCGACATAATGACGGATAGGATAATCTATTTTATTGGAATTTGTTGTGATTTTTCTCCGCACTTCCTGTTAAAATGTAATGTCAAGGACGAATCGGGTCTCACTAAAAAATGTCCGAAAAAATCGGTATGACTAAAGGACGAAAGTGACATTTTCTGACGAAAGTGTAGTTCTGGCTTCCAGGACTTTATATGTCGCTTTTATTTTGACGTTGTGCGACAGAACAGGTCTAGCAGTATTATAAAACCTGTTCGCTGAAGTATCTTTAGCTAACGAAAGTGAAAATATTATACGGACGGACGGACGGATGGATGGATTGAGGGATGGGGAAAAAACAACAACAACAAAAAAAAAAACCAATTGATAATGAATGGTTTATTCAATCAACACATTGATCTGTTTTAAAATGATGCGTCTTTTTTTTTTAAATAAACGTTTGCCTGAGTTTATTTATAATAATTGATCAAAGAAAATATTAAGATAGACTTACTGAGCTATGAAAGAAAACTATTTTGGATAACAAGAAAAGTCTTATAATAAACGAAGATTAAAAAAAAAACAGTAAGAAAAAATAATCATTTAAAGAAACATGCGAAAACTGTGCAATTATAGGTCAAGTAGATATCCTGTCTTTTTTACATATCATTAGTTGAGAATCCACAGAATTAACGAATTAGCGAATATGCATACTATAACCACTTCTGAATATCTTCTTAGATCGACAGACTGTAACGGAGGTAAAAATAGAGATATTCATATAGAGTCCTTGTACACATAAGGAATATAAGTCTGACCATAATTATGGTTAGTTTTATAAACAAAAAAAACCCAACAACTAATAGGAAAGGTTTTTGTCGTAAGTGCAACACTAGGACAAAACTGCGTGTTATATATGAGGTATGGTTTTATATGAAACGCACAAATCGTGCAATAATTAATACCAAATTGTAACGGTATCAGTGTTTCAATATCAATAATATCTGTCATATGTTGCGGTTCGGACCGGAATATCCGTCCCGTGGGGACCCGCCCATTGGGCGGTAACGAGCCCAATGGGCGGGTCCCCTCGGGACAGATATTCCGGTAAAAATCACGGAAACGCCAGTCTGCTATGCAAGAACATCTAATCCGCAACGGAATCAAACAAATGATGTGTTCACAGTTTGCACCCGAAAATGGTGCTTTTTACGAAAATTTGTATACTTTATGTACAGAAAGAACAAAGCTTGGTCATAATTAAAGTGTATTTATTGCATGTGTGTAGTTTTTGTGTGTTATATGATGACTTTAAAAGTTGGTTTTTGTGTATTCACCAGGAACTCATTTGTTGGCGGAAGGATTAAAGATGTACCATCCATCAGCAGTCAGGAGTTTTTAAAGTGGTGAATACAACAGAATGAAGATTTCTGAAAAAAGTAGATGGCTAACCTATTATATTTTGGGCCTCATTTGACTTAGGTTGATGTTTAAAGTTGAATACAGTATATATAATTCATCAAGAACAGTGGAATCCAGAATTAAGCCTCAAATGTGACTGATTTACTATAGAACAAAGAATAGGAAAATTCACCAGGCCGACACCGAAAATGGTGTTTTTGTAGTATTTTTCTGGAAATTCATACATTTTATATAAAGAAATGATATAACGGTTGACACCAGAAAATGGTGTTGTATAAAAAAAATCATAAATTTTATATAGAGAAAGAACAAATGACGATAGGAAAATCAAAAACAAAACACGCATATACAAAAAAAAAACACACAAAAAAACAACACAACAACAACAACAACAAAACTACAATGCCATGCGATATTCTCATGGTTGGAGATATGTGCCCTATATTGCTGTAAAGAAGAACCTCCTCCGAACTAATGCAAGGGCCAATCAGCAACGGAATCAGACAAATGAGCTGTGTCACGACTAAACCAACATAGTGGGTTTGCGACCAGCATGGATCCAGACCAGCCTGCGCATCCGCGCAGTCTGATCAGGATCCATGCTGTTCGCTTACAAACTCTATAACAAGAAGAGAAACTGATGGCGAACAGCATGGATCCGTTAGACTGCGCAGGCTGGTCTGGATCCATGCTGGTCGCAAACCCATTATGTTGGTTTTGTCATGGCGCAGCTCAAATGGTTTTTAAACTGTTGGCACTAGAATTTGGTCGTTTTAAGAACCTTTTAAAAGACCAAGACAGGGATATAAAAAATTAAATAGATGAAAACAATATAAGAATATTGGACTTATCTATAAATATTTCTATATACATACATCTTATCAGTGAAGTCTTAATATAAACTCAAAGTTAAAAGTTCAAATACTGAAAAGGAACAAAGATAAGTTGATATCATTTAACATTTCTGTTTGAGAAATTCTTTTATCGGTAAAGTGATGCTTCGATCTGCAACTGCTGTTGTTTTATTGCTCGGTGTAGCAATCGCCTTTCCATTGCATGGTAAATTATTTCTTTTTTATTGACAATTTATTTACAACTGAAACCGTTTGGCGTATGAATCCTGCAAGGGTACCTGATAAGGTAAACTGTCCAGCTGTCAAAGTATAGAAGACTGTCGCAAGGTTTTGGTGATATAAATTATGTCAGCGTGACTTAGCCGAAGTCTGAAGAAAAAAAAATGAAATTGAACTCCTACAAAATAGCTTATTGAAATGTTATTTTACATTGGTAATAAAATCATCTGAATCTGTTAAAAACACAATTTAGTAAAAGCTCAATTCATTTAACAAATTATTCTTTTCGTAGCTAATAAAATCATTTCAGATATATCAGATTATGGAACTAAGAAAGGACACCTTATATTTCAGATGTAAAGCGAGCAACCGACTTTGGATCGTTTGATCCAAACGCTTTGTACAATCAAATGTCACAACAAACGCAACAATTCCTAGGTCAAAATGGCGTTTCATCTGGTTCCGGCACAGCTTCTCAAAGTAGTTCCGGCGGTTCTAGTTCAGGCGTTAGTGGCTCAGGAACTGGAGGGTTTGACGCCAATGCACTATACCAGCAACAGTCTCAGCTAATGCAACAATATATAAGCTCCCATCAGACTGGAACCTCCGGGGGAGGAAGTTCATCTACATCGGGAAGTAGTTCTAGTTCCTCTGGAAGTAGTTCAGGGTCATCTGTCTCAGGCAGTGGATCCGGAAGTAGTTCTAGTGCGCCTGGTTCCAGTATGTCTGGAAGTGGATCCAGTTCAGGAAGCGGAAGTTTTGATCCGAATGCTATGTACCAGCAACAATCGAAGCTGAATCTCCAGAAACTGGAGTCAACTATGCAAAACGCCAATGCTAAGTTTGACGCCAATGCTGTGAATAATTTCCAAACTAGTGATAGTGGAAGTTCCGGATTCAACCCAAATCAAATCAACGCAATGAATTCTAACATGAATAATCTAAATGGACAGACTTCCGGCAGTCAGACAGGAAGTCAAACTTCTGATGGGCACACTACAGATTCTAAAGAGTAACTTCAAGCATCATGTAAGAAAATGGTTAGTACTTGTTTAACATGTTTGAATGTTTGCCTTACTAGAATAAATGTCTAATATAAAATATTTGCATTAAAATCAATACAAAACTATCGATCATGAAACCATACAGTAATTTGTCTGTGAAGAGTCTAAGAATATTCTGTGCTTATAAGTTGGCATGAAATATAGAATTGATGCTTATGCACTTTTTGCACTAGATTTTTTCTAGTGGAGACGTGTTACTACGAGAATTGAGATCACACCGATACTGCAAACGTCATAGGCGAGCTCATTTTGGAGTATCCGTACACTGTATCTGACACGACACGAGCAGAGCGGGCATCTGTGTAGAATCATCAATACGTTTATCCATGTTGTTTGAAAGTTGGAAAGGAATGTTTTTTCGAGAAAAATAACCTGAACAATTTTATTGTAAACCGCATGAATTTACGTTAATTAATTAACGTAATACGAAAATCGGAAAATGTATCTATTTAGATATAAAAAAAGGTTTCGTCCATAGTCTATACTTTGTACTAACATTTACATTTTTTTTCTTCAATTTTGTAATATATGTATATGTTTTCAGAATGTTTTTGGAAAAATGAAGGAATGAAATCAATTTGTAATGAAACCAACTACCATCAATAACACTTTACAACTTATCTACCTCAACAGGCAACCACATTTAGATACTCCGTACCAAGAACCACCATGTCTTCTACCTCTATCAAACTGTATATTTTCTACTTTATCGATTGATTTAAAAAAAACAGAAATATATCTTTTTTTCTCTTTGTATATACACGTACTTTTAATATATTTTATAGCATCGTGCATAACATGGCACGTACATTTTGTCTACGAACGAAACAACGAAAGCGCGGTTGTGAAAGCTCGGAAGTTCGATGGTGAAGATAAGAAATTGTATTGTGTTTTCACCATCGTGGTTTTGTTATTTCACTAAGGTAAAATCGACTTTTCATCATCGTACCTTATTTAATTCGTCTTTTCACACTCGTTAATTCTTTCGTTATTTTGACTTTTCATCATGATCATTATTTCGTGGATCGTTGTTTCGAGTTATGTGTGTATCGCGATGGTCCTAACAGGACACCGTACATATTATAGTAAATGCAAATTTATTTTAGTTGGATTGTAGCTTATTTAAACATTTTCGAATCCGTTCTTGGAACTAAACCAGAACTAAGAATGAATATTAAGTTTGTTGCGCGAGGTAACAACGGCTTGGATTTGACAGGGTTAGAATCCACGCGGTCAGCAATCCTAAGATTATTATTTGGTCCGTTGGCCACGCGGTCACTCTTCACTACATCGCACACTGATGGTGTCTACTGAGAAATATCACTATGGAAAAAATCATAAAACAAAAAAAGTAGGGTTGAAGTTGTAAAAAACTATTTTGACTGATACGTACCATGCATTTTTACAGTTTTGTAGGGGTCATGAAATGAATGACAAACAAAAATGGTGATTCTTTCTTGCAATTCGACCTTTCTTCTTTTGGTCGCCCGTCATGCACGCGAAAAATACAAACAATTGAAAAGTTTCTGTCCATTCCGTCAAACTTTGAATAAGGACGATTATTTGTTCCAGTGACGAAAAGCTCTTACATCAGCCGACATAAGAAACTTGAACTAAGGTTTATTTTTATTTAATAGTGTATAAAAACACCACTAAAAAGGTATTCTAAAACCAGGTGTAGTAAAACGATTTCAAGTTAATTCTTGCAAGTAAATCAAAATAAAACACGTAATGCTGGTAAAGAATCGCACCGGAGACATTCAGATCGGTAGTCCGACATCTATACCAATACGCCACAACACACTGACGAGTAAAATTAGCAAATGTATCGATTGAATTCGATAGATACTGGTCTGTGTTTATTCAAATGACCTTTACGAAAGTTAATGAAATGCCAGGTCAATATTGTTGGGCAATACATTAGTGAATATTTTCACGAGATTCTCAAATCACACAACAAAGCTGTAATGTTTATTTTGATAAAACCTGACATGCCATGAAACCACTCTAGCAGATAGTAATAATGAGTCCCCGAAACCAAATAGAAATTATGTATTATAAAAATTAAATTTCTAAACAATATGAATGAACTTAAATGTTCTATGGTGGCAGTTTAAATGGTTTTGCCAGTTTGCGAAGTTTATCACGAAAGGTTAAGTCATTTGTATGAGAGCCGCGCCGTGATAAAACCAACATATTGCGTTTGCGACCATCATGGATCCAGACTGCAGCCTGCGCATCCGCGCAGTCTGATCAGGAACCATGCTGTTCGCTTACAAGTCGTATTACAAGTAGAGAAACTGATGGCGACCAGCATGGATCCTGATCAGATTGCGCAGATGCGCAGTTTGGTCTGGATACATGCTGGTCGCAAACGCACTATGTAGGTTTTGTCATGGGCGGCTCAATTATGATTGAAAGATAATCATCTCGCCTTAAACTAATTCTACAGTATATAAACCAACACTACGCACTTGAAGGTCCTTATTCAAGTTGACGTTAGTACATTTAGTAGATTATGAATAATAATTTTATAATTTAGAAATACTTTAAAATATCGTTTAAATGATAAAATGTCAAAATGCCAAATATTTCAATATCCAAGATAGCGCGTTTAAAATTTAAAAGCTTATCTGACCAGCAAAATATTTCAATATCCAAGATAGCGCCATTTAAGATTTTAAAAGCTAATCATCTGACGACGGATTGTTTTATTTCGAAACGTAAAGGGAATTACCGCTTGGGGTATTTCGAAATAGTAAAATTTTGATAAAAAGGAACATGAGGAAGTGAGTAGAACAGTTTTGTGTAATTTTGTAATACTTTCTGTTTCAAGCATGGAACATGGATGTTTTTACATAAAATTGTTCGTTTTTATAACTACATTTGCTGTTATATTGCAAGGTGCGTTTATTTTATTTATTTATTTTTTTTATTAATTTATTTATTTAATATTATTCATTTCTGTAATAAAAGTTAAATCAAAGAATCTGCTGAAAGAAAAATAAAATAAAATGAGTTTTATAAAAAAAAAAACCCTCGAGGATGAGTTGTTAATTGTTATACAGCAATGTAATTGTCGTTTATTTATTTAAATATTTGTTTATTTTCTTTTTTATCTAGATTTTCAAGCGGACTGTAGAGGTGGCGGGCGTGGTGGTAGATATAGGGGGGGGGAGCAGGAGGTTCAAGTGGGTCAAGTGGGTAGGTAAGATTCATGTAAAACAAAGATAGATTATACAATTTCTTTAATGTCAATAACTTAAAAAAATAACCATTCAAATTCCAAATGAGTTTCACAAAGTTTTACATAAATTTACATTCATTGTTGTATTTGATGTATTGTTTACTATTATGCATAATCGTCAAGGTGTATGTTTTTAGGAACTGTATGCCTGTTGTCCATATTTCAAATTTGATGTAGTCGATTGACAATGGGCATTTTTAAATTTATTCAGTTTGTTTTGACTATTTGTAATTCAATCATACTTTATTTTCCATTGAACATTCGTTACTAACTCCCTTTGATTTCTTGTTATCGGAAAGTCACGTGGTAGAATTATTATGAATAATAGTCGAGTTCTAGGTATACAGTGTCAGTAATGGTCAAATTATATCATAAAATAATCTCCCTTGATTTTAAAGCACAAAATTACTAACCAGCAATCGTTAACTATATACATGTATAATACATAATTTTATATTATACATTTATAGTATAATTTTTATATAGTAAACGGGTGCTTTATGATAATTTGAACAAAATGAGCCAAACGGCAGAAGGTACTGTGATGGGTGGAATGTGATTCCTTTCGTGAAGTTTGTATAAAATGTATAATGTCCTTTTTTATTAATTTTTACATGTGAAATTATTTCCGTTGAATTTAAAAAAAATATGACCAGACGCAAGCATCACTAGAATTTTAAAAAAATGTCAAATTAATGGCGAAATTGATAATCAGAAACGTGTTACATATAGATCTATATCTGTAACACCATTGGAACATCATATAGACAATACTCCTAGAAGGGCACGTACCAGACAATTTATAGCGTATAATATAGTTTAGAAAAAGATAAAAAGATGAAAGTTTCTTATCATTCTAACTATTTGTAATTTTAATCACAATACGTGTATACAGCTTGTTTCGCGGTCCACATTTATGCAATTACCACTGGACTACTTGTTAACGTAATTAAAGCTGAAGATTATCTGTCCCTATATTACTGCACGTTTGTAACATCCCTTTTTCGGCGTTTATATAAACTACTTTTGTCTGCTTTCAATATATGAGGTTTTCCCCCTTTTTTCTCCAAAAAAAGAAGGTTGTCGTATTATAAATTTATAAATTTACAGGTTACCCGGTATATGGCTATTTTCAATATCGGCTCGGGTTATATATGCAAAAAAACGTTTGTAAATGGCTATTTAACCTGTCAAAAAATCTTTATATCTATTTTACACAACTATTTCGTAATTTATATGTTTTATTATTTTAGTTCTGGAGATGGGACATGGTGGATCGTACTTGCCGTGATTGGAGGAGTTTTTGTTCTTATTGGACTTCTTGTTGTCATAATTTATTGTCACAAAAAACGCTGATACTTGCAGAAAAGACGCTGAATATAGCGATAATTTTCTGATCTATTCCATCCCTTATGATGCTTGATTAATTAAATACCTTTGTGCCAGGTCAACATGTTATACGATTACAACGAAAGAATCACAACAAAAGTGACTTGCATCATCTTAAAATCGAATCTAGATCCATCCAGCCGGACGGTTATTTGCCATAAGCAGTCCCAAGGTCGTGCAATATTAAATTGTGACGTAAATGTTAGAATTTTCAATTAATTGAAGTTTTAATAAATATATCAATATGCATTACATGTATTTAAAATTGATTTTTATTATATTCATATACATTACACAAATGTATATTACTTGCTAAGTTTATAATACTGCATGTTTAATTTTCTAACGCCGATTTTCATTGGATAATCGTGACATTTATATAGTTTTATAAACAAGACTGTTGTCGATTTATGAAGAAATCTTACTTTTTCTCTAAATAATAAGGCTTGCTGTATTAATTCGTAATAAACATTTCTGACTTGTTATATGGCATATGTTTCCAAATAATCGTTTATATAGGACCATTATTATGAAATGTCAAAAAAATCTTTAAAACTAAATAAATTAATATACACGGCTGCTGTTTGTGGTGTCATTTTCTTTTTTTCTCTTCACATGAATAAATAGTGTTGCATATTGATTTCGTTTATAAAGAGTTTTAAGATTTTATATGTTCACATGTAAACTGTTTTTGCTGCATTTTCGCAGGGTCATACATGCTGTCATTTTTTTCTACCAATTTCTTTGAAATATCAGTTTAGTCTGAATCTCAAATGTCAAGGTTAATGTTACAAAAATTAGAAAAAATGGTTTCTGACAGGAATAAGATAATATAATCAAGCTTAGTATAAGTATGATTTTGTGGAGACTTCGACCTTACTTTTGGTCCCTAGGTCAATGTCAAAGCCCACTTTTTTACTTAAAAAGAAACTTGTTTCCAACGATTACAGAGTTATAGACGAATATTATTTAATCGAAACGTGGTGGTGGTTTGGTAGTTTTCACTCCGGATTACAACAGTAAGCGTACATTGAAAATTCACCAGAGCACATTTGTTCAACACCGCATCGTTCCTGGGCAGTTTACATACTTGTTGCCTTCACTTTCGACAAGGAAGCTGAACTTCTGGAAGCCCAGAGCAGTGGTTAATGCGAATGCGACCGTAGAAAGGATTTCATGATAATCAAACGAAAAGACCTGCGCCGTCGGGAATCGAACCCCCAGGTCGCCTCAATTCGCAGTTTAACGCTCTACCTGTTGAGCTAACCGGACGGCTTTATTGTAATGAAACTTGGTATATAGCAAGCTTATGTAGATACCTCGCTCGACCTCCTTACAGTCAAGTTTATTGACACTGTTATTAACTATGGAAAAGGGTTTCCGATCGATAAGTAGAGTTAGGAATCCGACTTGGTATACAGCAAGCTCTTGCGGAGACCTAGCTGATCACTGTCAGTAAAATCTGATTGATAATTAGAGTTAGGAATAAAATCAGCTTTGGTAAATAGCAAGCTAATCTGAGGCCTGGCTTGGATTGAGACCTCGCTTTGGATTGCCTTTTGGCATTCAATATCACTGTTACACATATAATAAATTAGGAACTTGAATTAACATGAACAAAGCTCATAGTAATTGACAAATTTTTACTGGATACATTAAATTTGAACGGTCTATCCCGCGTCCCAAATAAGGTTTTTAATGTGGAAAAGGATGTTTAGAGACTTTTTGGACGTAAAAAGTGGTTTTAGAAAAAAAGGTATAATATTGATCTTATCACGTTTTCCATTTTGATTGTATTATACATGTATTTGCAACTTGAAAATGAGTATAAATATGCAATGGCAAAAAAAAATAAACCCCTTAAATTTATTAATTTTCCCCCTTTTAAAAATTTGGGCCGTTTCCCCCCCCTTTAAATAAATTAACAGAATACAATTAGAATAATCTTTTCTCTGTGACTTTAATAAATGTTAAACTACTTATTACGTACGTATTTAAAGGGTTGGTGAATAGGACATTATGTTAAATGAAGTGTACCTCTTGAAGGGACAATCGAAGCAGAGTCGGATTAAAAAAAGGTATAATATGTAACTGTTTTACTTGATATACACATTAGCTTATTACTTACGGTGGTCCAAAAGGTCATTTTGTTTTTTTTTTATCTATCTCGGGGCACATGGGAAAATGTTGGTTATTGTTATGTTTTTTATTTTTTTTCATTTTTGGGATTGTTCTGCTTTTTTTTTCTTTTTTTATTTTTTTCAAATTTTTTTGAAAAGTCCCTTCCCATGTACTTTTTACTGTTTTTTCTGTTCCCTATCAGGTGGCCCTGTTGAAATGGTCTGTTAAGTATTATTTATTTCATTTACTTTTCGTTTTTTGGGGTCCCCTTTCCATTTTCCCCGTTCACTCATCTTTTTCTGTTTTCGTTCATGTTCTTGTGTTTTTAAAATTTGGGTTTTGTTTGTATTTTTTCGTGTTTTTTTCCTGTTTCCATTAGAAATGCCCCCTTTAAGTTTTTGGTTTTTATCTCCCGGGTGACTTTCCTTTTTGTATGTTTTTTCTGTTTTGGTTCCCGTTTTGCCCTTGTTTTTCTCTTTTCTTTATGTCCTTTTGAAATTCAAAAATTATGGTCGTTTGTCTGTACTAGTGTATTTTGTAACCATTTAGTCCTTTGGGTTTTTAATGTTTTAAAATTCGGTTTAGTATTTAGAGTTCTATGTTCAGGGTTTTGCAGTTCCCTCGTTGTCATTTCATTTCTTTTAGGGAGTGGGGGGGATCGAAACTTCACGACCAAATTTAATTGAAGGCGGACAGTTTTCCAACTGCAGCTATAAAGCCCGGTCTGAATAGTAAACGGTTTACATGACAGTCCTATATACATTATTACTTCAATTTGCTAACAAAAATGGTAATTGCAATTGAAATTTTAACAAAACTTTAAATTTTGGTAGCCAAGGGCCACGTTGGCTTTTCATACATCGGCCCAAAGAGGAGTAATACTCGATTTAAATAATATTTTTATTAGATAACTTTTCTGTTACTTTAAGAAAACCCTGGAAATTTTTAGGGGAAGGGACAGGAATTTTTTGGTATATCAGGTTTTGTAAAATTTTTCCCTTTAAAACCCGGGGAGAAAATTTCCCAAATTTCAAGATTTCCAAAGGGGTATCCAAGCAAACCCGAAAACCAATCTCCCCAAATTTCGGGACTTTTTACGCAAAAAAACCCGGGCAGTTTTTGCGTAATAAAACTTTTTAAAATGTTCCATGAAAAAAATATGCCCCATTGGAATTCATTTAAATGATAAAAAAATCAATAATCTTTAAATGGAATCTAATAAAAAAAGCCAACTGAAAGCACTAATGCGACGGCTACTGATCGTAGGCTTTTGTAAAAAAAAATTAAACACAAATAAAAATGTGACATGTTATTGAGTGGGTATCAAAAACATTGTTTGTAAAATTTTGGGCATTTTATGAAATTTTAAAAGGGCCCCTGAAAGAAAAAATCGCCAGTTCAAAAAATTGACGCATTTGGCTCAATGGGAAATTCACGGACATATTTCATGAATTAGGCTTTAAAAGTAAACGCCCAAAATTGAATACAAAATCGAATCTGCAATAGAATCAGATAAAATGATTGTTTGAAACGTTTGCTTGAAAATTTTGGTTCTTTTTTCCGAACATTTATCCAAATTATATACAAAGAATCAAATCGCCGGTTCAAAAAAACGACCATTACGATGCGGAAAATCTCAACGGGACACATTTCTTTGTTAGGACTTTGGGTTTCTCATGGTGCAAAGCTGGAAACCCTCAAAGTTAATTTACAAAATGAGTTTGCAATGGAATCACAGAAAATGGTGTTTAAAAACGGTTGGCTCGGAAAAGGTGTTTTTACCAATTAATATATACAAAAGAACAGATCGCTTGGAACAGGGAACAAAACTACCGCAGACATCGCGGAAAAAATATCCTATGCAAATTTCATAGTCTAGAGCTTTGGGTTCTTATTTTTGTGCACAGAAAACGAAACCCTCCAAAGTTGTACCAAATTGAATTGTTATTGGAATCAGACACATGGTGTTAAAACGGGTTAGCTAAGAAAAAAGGTGTTTCTTTTATACAATTTACATAAAACAAAGAATAAATCGCTGAAACACAATACGACCACGGTCCACGCGGAAAATTCTAGGACACTATTTCTTGATTAGGGCTTTGGCTTTTTATAGTGGTGGGGGGCGAAGGGGGAGAAGACCCTCCAAAAGTTGTACAGAAAATCGAACTTTTGCAATTGGAATACAACAGATGGTGTTTTTAAACGGTTGGCTCTGGAAAATGGGTGTTGTTTATTTCAATTTAATACAGAAAGAACAAATCGTTTTGAAGCAGAAACGACGCTTGCAAACGCGGAAATTCTAAACACATTTCTTAAATGAGAGCTTTTGGGGGTTTTTTGTGAAAAGAAGACCATTCCCAAACTTGGTATCAAAATCGAAATTGCCATTGGCATCCGATAGATGGTCGTTTAACACGGGCTTTGGCTAAGGAAAAAATTAAACCCTTTTTATATACAGAAAAAAAATCCCAAGTCCCAAACAACAACCATGACATACGGATATCTTCCCGGACATATTTTTGGGGTTATTGGCTTAAGGCTTTATAGTGTGGCATAGAAGGCCCTCCAAATTTTGTAACAAATCGAATTTCCGCATTAGAATCAGACCGTACAAATGGTGGGTTTAAAAAAAACGGCTGGCTCTGGAAAAGGTTTTTTAATTTTTCCGAAAATTTATACAATTTTAAAATTCAGAAAGAACAAATCGCCCGGTCAAAAATTTACGACCTGCCATCGGAAATGCTTGCCGGACAATATTCCTTTTTGGTTAGGGCTTTCGGCTTTATATTGTAAAAAGAAGGCCTTTTCAACTTCAAAAGTTTTCAAAATCGGGGGAATCTGGGCATTGAAATAAGACGAGTGGTTTTTAAAACGATTTTCTAAGAAAATGGTGTAAATTATTTTCAAAAGTTTACGCAATCTATATTTACCCAAAAAAACAAATTTGGTCGATTTCTTTGCTATAACTTTTTTTGTGTAGAGCTTTTAATAGACTTTTTGGCTGTAAAGAAGATCAATCTGAGCAATATAAATCAACTTGATAATTAAATTTTTCTTTCTTTTTTTTCTTTATTTTTTTACGTAAGGGTAGCGTTCATTTAGAAGCTAGTTTTTCTACTGTGCATGGACCG